TTTTTTTTAAGTGTGAACTGGAACAAATCAAGGCCAAATGGCAGCTACGTGTTGTTGATGTTGATTGTATCAGGCTTTTTGACAAGTGGGTGGCCTTGTGGTTTGAGTGGTTGGTGCATCTGGCTTCAATTATAAGCTCAATAATTTAATTGCAGTATACAGGCCTTTTTCATGATGCCATTGTGCTATGTTGCATGCTGTTGCTGTAATTATTATGTCAGTGAAGTGTATGCCGTATGGGATGATTTAAGTTATAATGATGCAAAAAAAATTGAAAGAAAGGTTCTCATTGTAGAATGTTCGTGGCAAAACTGAACATAATCCGGATAACAAAATCTTTGTGTCATTGACATCATGCACATCGTAGCTCATTTGAATCATTATATATTAAATTTCTGACATTGATTATTAGTAGAAAAACAACCCTTAACATAGTGCCATTGTTTTTTGGTGGTACAAATGAATGAATAAGAAATATATGTCCTTAGATACAAGCTTTTCATATGATGTCACTTGCACCATTTTTTATTACACTGTACAAAACCACCCAACATACTTAACTTGTAATCCGCTTACCTGGTTGCTCTGTACTTCATACTATTAGGTGGTAACAGTGAATGTAGCAAATAGGAATCCATATACACCTACATTTGTACTATACTATACTATACATGTAGTATATAATCCCAGTGGACCAGTGCACCATAGGTCCAGGACTCCAGGTAGACATCAGAAAATTATACCTGCACAGTCAGTGAGTGCCGAGTTTCCCTGCACTAAGGTGCATATGCCTAGAGTGTCAGCCTTGTTAGCTTTCATCCACTCCCCAAGATCCGCCACCAGGCAACAATTGAGTAGGTGCTAAAAAGGTTTCCATGGTGATTTTTGGAAAACTGGACAGGAACACGGTCATAAACAGCAGCTTGCAAGGAGAAATGGCTCTACACAGGGCTCTACACACATCCATGTGAAACTTCCTGCAGCCTGCTCACCCAAGAAAAACAACATGGGTCAGGTGAAAAATATAGTCGCGTCATTGGACTGCTGCTGTTTGAGGTCATCCAATCACATGAGGCCCCACCCAGCTCGCGCAGCTTGAATTTTGCTCATTATTAGATAATGAACCAGCTGTTACGAATGCGTGCGGGTTTAGTCTTGTTGGCTGGTAGCGAATCTTGGGGGGAGCGGATGAAAGCTAACAAGGCTGACAGTGACACTCAAGCTAGCATATGCACCAAGTATTTCGAGCCCTGATAGATAATGAATATCTGATGATGTAATTGATTTCTCCCTAACAGGTACATCCGTCTGTATGGGCGAAAGTTTTCCAAAGAAGACCATGTGATGTTTGTGAAGCTGTACTATGAGCTGATGACCATTCCTGACCTGGAGTTACCCCTCGTCCAGAAGTTTGCACAGATGTTGACAACTCTGCTCAAGTAAGTGTTTACTTCCCATGGAGAAATCAACAGGGCTTTCTGCTAGACGTAACTTCAAAATTCTAAAAGTGCACAGCTCCAATTTTGGGCATGTAAAGTGCATGTGCACCCTTTATTTCAAGCCCTGTAATCAGATTTCTATGTTGCATGCTGTTGAACCTCTTTTTATAGTAATCTTGTTTGTTGCTACCCTTTTCTCCAAAATCACACCTACACCATGGACCAGTACATGTCATAGCCATCTCAAGCAATTCAGGCACACGGCCCATATAAAAAAAAACATATTGTGCATTTTCTTATACTCTACTTTTTTTACATCATAGTACTAGTAGTATCTGTAATATGTGTGCACTTTTCATCAAGGACTGCTGATCCGACTGCCTCTGTCCTTGTGTGTTACACAGGAAGCGAGAGCTGCTGTCCCGAGATGACCTTGTGTTGCCATGGCGACCGCTGTACGAGCTGGTGGAGCGGCTGTTCTACTCATCGTGGGAACCCTACGGTCTGGAGTGGTATCCCTCGTAAGCACAACATCCCCCTTCCTCTCACGTACTGGTGCTCTGGTATAGAACAGGCTGCAGTTTTCATCGCACAATACATATTATATTGTAGGTAAACCTCAGGAAAAAACAAATCACTCAAATATATGTAGGGAAGTCCTTTTTTGTCTTTTATTTTCTCCATGCTGTTTCTTCATCAACAGTATGCCTGAGATTTTACTTGTACCACCTCTACGACAAAGACAAGCCATATTTGTTGTTGCAGACTTGTAATCTCAAGTTGCTGAAAACGTTATGAAGCAGAAAACCTTAATACAAATTACAATGCAAAACTCCCATTTAGAAATATTTATCCAGTTTGGAAATTCCCTGTCATGCATATGAAGTCTGACTCAGTAATGCTCCTGCTGGTTTTGGTGAGAACTGCAGCCCTGGCACCTTGTGTGAACACCATGTGATGATGACTGATGATGGGACTCTGGAAGTAGCTGTGGTTCCCCGCTTTTTGCTACCTCCCAGTTTCTGATGTCATGACCAGAGTTTCCCCCTGTAGTTCCACCCCTTGTGTAGACATGGGTTTTAAACTGTTACACTGCATCTGGATTGTATAATGTTCTGCTTGCAATAAAGACTTTACATGCTAGCTGCTACATGTAAAAGAATATGCAAGGACAAGTTGGGAAATTGTGGGCTGAAACACTTTTGATCAAGTGTTCTGGCATTGAAGATTTGTGTCTTGGAAATATCTCTACAAAATATAAAGCATACTTTTTTAATGTTTGAAAGTGACAACATAGTCTTATTCAGTGACAGTCTCTCAGAATCTAAATTTTAAAAGATTTTCATGGAAACGCATTTAGAAAATATCCAAGCAAGAAATTCGGACAAGCATGTTTTTCAGGCAAGTTTGACATATGTGTTACAGACTTTTAAACACCTGTGTTTATGTCATGTAAAATGATATATTGAAAAATTGTTTTGTGAAGTGGGAGCAGTCTGCTTGCACCAAACACAGCCTGTTGCCATGATTGTAGATACAATGTGACTTGTGCAGCCGGCGGCCGCTCGGTCTCTAACTGCTGTTGTTTGTGTGTACAAACTTATGTCGATCAGAAATGGGCGAGGCAACTGGACTGTTTCTTTACTGCACCAACTAAGAATAAGGTAGGCAGGCCTTCGTCTGTTTCCGTAACACATTGACTAAAACCCGTGGCGTTGCGCCCGCCTTGTCGTGTCCCGTATTGAGGTATCACTCCGTTTCAGGGGCAGGAGGGCTCGAAGGGGCGTGAACTTGCGTCAGCTGGTAGGAGCCTGTTTAAGCAGGCCTAGTAGAGTCAGACACCCCCGGGCCATGCGTGCAGTTCTGGCAGCCCTCGGCGTAGCGGGGTTCGGTCGGTAAGACAGGGGCCCTCGTCTCAGCACCATGCACCTACCAATGCCTCCTGAAGATGTCTTGGCTTTGTCTTAGATCTGTTGGGGTCACTACAAAGTTATACGAAGTCTGCGCATCTAGCCTTGCTTTACATTTTCGTCACAATCCATAGTAAATGTGCAATATATGAAACGTTCAATTGATTGACTATATCTCAACATTGATGGGTGCATTACAGTTCTAACCCTAACCTTATCTTCTACTCCCACTACTTTTCCATGTATTTTTACCCATTCTGCTTGTGTCTATGTTTTTTTGCATCCCCTTGAATTTCATTATGTTGCCTCCTGTTTTTATCATCACCACTATCCTGTCCTCCTCTGTAGGAGAGATCCTAAAACCATCCTGTAACGACCTTTTCTTTCATTCCACATTAACGACTGCTTCCAGAGTCCCACCAGTCAGCCTGCCATGTTGTCTGAGCTTCGTGTCTGTCATGAGAAAACTTGTCACCACTTCAGCGGCTTTTGTCACCTGTGATGTTTGCTACATACATCCAGCTCAGGGACAATATAAGTCGTCAATAATACCTATCCGTCATCAGTAGTGACATGTGTCAATCACAGATCAGACCTTTCATGCACAGACTGTTGATGTTTGAATCTTACACTTCTCCTCCTACCCAGGTCCATCGAGAATGTGATCAAGAACGTTGTGCGCATGTGTCGAGTGTAAGTATGCTGGTTTGTAGTTATATCAGTAGAATAGCCATGGGGGAAAACTCTATCATTTTGTATTATTTTGTCCAAGTAGAAAGTTGGATGAGAATTGTTTATGACTTGTATAGCTTACTGTAAGATAGCTTGACTGCTTCAAGTTTCTAGCAGCCCCTCTTCTGGTCAGGCCTCTAGAGGGCAGTGGGCAGAATCAGCCCAGACAGCAAGAGATTGTATAACACAGGCTAACTATAAGATATGAGCATTAGGAGCAGTGTTTGTAAGACATAATTGTAAGATTTGTATGTCGAGTGTAAGACGTCTTGTGTTGATGATGGTTGTTCCTACAGGTATTTCTCAGTAGAATCCAGTGCAGAGATGTTGGAGGAATGGCGGCCGCTGCTGTGTCCGTTCGATGTCACCACCTGTAAGGCCATGTCGTACTTCGAGATGTTCCTCCCCACCACCTTACCTCCCGAGCACCATGACAAAGGGTTTAAGTAAGTCTGTGAGCTGTTGCACTTGAATCTATGTACATAAGCATGGAACTGAACATGAAACATGAATCGAACTAGTTTTCCAACACAAGGGAATGGATTGACAAATGTTTGTTAGTGAGTAAGTGTGTTGGTCCTGTTATTTCCAGGCTGTGGTTAGATGAGCTGCTGAAGATGTGGGACAACTGTCACAACTGTCCATCATGGGAACAGGTCAGGACCTCGTGTTTTGCTTTATTACTCTCCCTGTGTTATCTTTCTGATATAGCTGAACTTGAATGCAGGGTTCTGGAGACTATCCTTCTGTCAAATGACTGTATTTTGTTGCTCTAAAATAAAATACCATTTGAGCTACTATTAAAAAAAGATATTAAAATACAACTATTATTATGTTTTTGTCTGTAGAACCTGGTGAATCTGTTTGCTCGGGTTGCCCTGGACAACATTGGGTACATTGACTGGAGCCCGTGGGTGTCCAAACTCTTCACGCGGCTGCTGCGGAGCCTGAACCTGCCCGTCGGCTCCAAACAGCTGCAGGTGGGGCGGGCAGGTGGCGGCTACGACGTGGCCGTGGCAGGCATCTGGATTGTCTCCATGATGGTGAGGAGCAGGGTTCAGCTGTATTTTCTGTTGCCAGGTGGACTAGAAAGTAAAATGACAGGGTTCACATCTCACCTACATGCTTCTGAAATGAGTTGCACTCATTTGCTCTAGAAAGTTGACAGAGACCATCTACAAGACATGCAAACGTGTCCATCTGTTCTATCCGGTTGCTCTGATTTGTCATAATTGTTCTGTATCCCCTCCACCCCAGGGAGGTCCAAAGGGAGACATTGTGCTGGACCACATTCAGAGGTTCTTCCAGGCAGTGGAGACGTACTTCCACCCCTCCAACAACGGCAGGTGGATGGTGAGTCTCAGGTCATGGTGGAGGTCCTGAAGTAGAGATTAACTGTAAAGGACAGGAACACAAGTAGAAATTTCTCAAAATTCAGAACCAAGAATCAATGATTGATTGAAAAAATAGAGACCACAGACCACAAAGTACAGTTTTCTTCATGGTGGAAATTGTAATAAATGTTGTCCTCTCTTTCAGGGAAAGCTACAGAAGCTAATCTACAAGTTGCCTTCCTCAGTGGTGAAGAGACTCCACAGGTAGAGACTACTTTTTCTGCTTACCATTCTGCTTACAGAACAGACATACTGTTACCTGTACAGCCCACATCTCCAAGTTACACGATCAGATGGTCTTCTATATCCCCAGGGAGCGGTACAGGAAGCAGTCGTGGGACCGACTCGTACCTGACGCCTACAAGCTGACGGACATGGAGCTGGAGAAGGTGGTGGAACACATGAAGCCTGCCGTCATGCTGGCCATCTTCAGTAAGACTGGGAGTCAGGACGCTGCACAGGCCCTGCAGAACCTGGCACTCATCAGACCTGACCTCATCCTGCCACCTGTGCTAGAGAAGTAAGAACTGCAGCAGATTTGGAAGTAAACATTATAGTTGGAAGAGCAAGGTTGCTTAAACTGTACTTCTGCATTTTATGCATGAACAGTTAACAAATTTTCTTTAAATGCAAATCAGATTTCCCAAGTACATGTATCTCTCCAATGATAATACTCATAATTACACCCCCCTCCAGGACGTACCTTGCCATGGAGACATTGACGGAGCCCCACCAGCTGACAGCGACCATGTGCTGTGTGGTTACCATGGCAAGAGAGATGGTGAAGGGAGGCCGGTACCCTGAGGGCCCCTCCAACCTCCTGCCCCTCCTCTTCATGGTCCTGCCGGGCATCGATCCTAACGACTTCGCCAAGTGCATGGTGAGCTACAGTCTACTCTTTCACATGCAGGGGAGCTGTGTTGTAGTATATATAATATATGAAATGTTATGTGTATGAATAAATGAGCCAGGAGCTGTGTTGTTAGCTGTATTGTACTTTTGTGAAAACAGTCATCTCCTTCCCTTTGAGGAACACAACATTTAAGAACCTATAACACTTAATGATACACAACTGGCATATTACACAATATAGTGGTATACTGGTACAGAGAACTGACTGTGTCTTACTGTTTGTGCCCAGATCACGTTCCAGTTCATCTCCACCTTCTGCACCCTGGTGCCCCTGGTGGACTGTTCCGAGGCCCTGCAGACAAGATCAGACCTCACAGAGGTAAGGGGTGGTGCTCAATACTGCTGATCATCCTCCTGGTCTTTCTGGTCTTCAGAATAATACTCCACTCAACTTTTTTGCTAGTGGTTCATGTACAATCAGGATTATGTTTGTGTTGCAGAGAGAGAAGGAACTGTGCTCTTCCACTGCAGGGTTTGAGGACTTCGTCATGCAGTTTATGGACAAGTAAGTCCTGTTGGGGGCAAACTGATGGCATTTTTGGGATAAGTCTTGCAGGTTTAGTACAAACTTCAGCTGTCCTGTTAGCCTAGGTACGTTCCTACTTGTATGCCGGGGCTCCCACACTCGCTTGCCTGTACTTGTTAGGGAAGCGAGTGTGGGAGCCCCAGCATACAAGTAGGATAGTACCCAGGCTACTGTCCTGTTATGAGAAAGGCTGCTTTTAAATTCTTGTCAGTGATCAGTTCTGTCATAGCTTGATTGAAAATTCCATACCATCAAACCATACCATCGAAATCATAGGACTGTCTACAATTATCGTGAACACAAGTAAGTTATGCTGAAAATTACAGGTCTACAAGAAAAAAAATTGTGTAAGACAAGGTAGAAAGATCAGCAGACATCCTTGCTGACGAGCATCCAACCACGGATGACCTTGCTCACAACTTACTCCCAACTATGGCCTAGAGAAGGTTGGGAGGCCATGATTGGCTATGTGTGACAGGGCTTTAACCTTCAGCATGTTAAAGTAGCAGTCTGGCATCAAAGCTGTACTGGTTGTGGGGTTGGACAGCAAGGAGAAGGTTAAACCCATCTGACTTGTGTCTGCAGGTGTTTTGCCCTGATCGAGAACAGCACACTGGAGCAGACCACCACGCTGGACACACTCATGGACAAGATGAGTAACCAGGAGGGCATGGTGGAGATAGGTCTCACCTCAACATTCAGCACCATCCTCACACAGAGCTCTCCAGCAATATACCAGGTCAGGCCCAACAACATGTGGTGTGTTACTCCAGTTCAATTCACTTACATGTTTCCTCAAGCTTTGACTTAGGGGCAATGTGTTAGCCACTGAATTTTTTTTATAAACATATTAAGTTCTGTTTAATGTGCTGCATTTTGTCTGTCTTCCCTAATCATTTTGTTCATTTATTTGGAATTGTCAGGAGGCCATCAAGAAGTTGTTCCACTTTGCATCGAGCCACATGTTTGAGACAAAAGTCGCTGGCAGAATGGCAGCTAATATGTGCAGGGCTGCCAGTAAGGTAAGGCGTGCTTATGTTTTTTTGTACCACTTTTCTTCTCTATAAGTATAACTTGATAAAGTGAGCAACAGCCACTGAATATTAGAGAAAGTCAATAACTAAAATAGGCTGCAAAGCTCTGCAGTAGTACACGCAGTGGCCTATCAATGGTTCACAGCTGCCAAGTAGTTGTGGCTAGATTATGTAGTCTGAAGGAGTTAGTGATGGACACCAATTAAACTTAAAGAACTGCTGTTACTGATATCCTCGACCACACTATCCTGGAGCTAACTTGAGCTTACTTTTAGATGTTTGTATAGATCCTCCCCCAGCTTCAGCAATATCTATTGTTTGTTTCCCCAGGCTCATCCTGAGTATACACTGAAGCTGTTCTTGCCTCACTGTGCCCAGGTCATCATGAAGCTAACAGAAGGTAAGAAACAAAAGCCCTCCTGGAACCATTGCTTTCTGTGATCGTTGTTGGTGCTACCAAACTTGGATTGATCATGGGGCTGGACACATGGAGAAAACTAAGTATTGTGTTATATTATGAAACAGCTGAACCTGAAGAAGATAATATTGTGCTCTGTATCCTTAAGTAACCAATAATGGTTGTTTCATCCCTCCCTGTACAGCGGAGGATGTTCAGAAGGAGGAACAGCTGGATGATGAGCTGCTGTGGAACCTACAGATGCTGGCTGATGTGAGTAACTCCACAGTTCTGTACAATACAATACAAGATAAGCACTAAGAATACTTTTTTAAAGGTAGCATACATCGTTACAGACATTTACTGACCATTTCAGCTACAGGTATTTTATCTCTTGTCATCTCCTGTCCTATCATACTGTAAACTGCACAACAATTCAGCTTTGTTGGCTGGTATGATTTTTACATTGTCAATGATGGTAAATGATTCCTTCCTTCCTTCAGATCGTGCGTTGTGATGGGCTGTCCCTGGTGGTGTACCGAGATCAGCTAGTGCCGGTTCTGGAGCGCACGCTGCACCTGACGTGTAAGGACGGGTACCAGCAGGCAGGGCTGCTCCTCCGACACTCCCTGCGCGCCCTGACGCTCGTCTACCCGCAGGAGTACCGCAGCATGCCCTTCCGCTTCGACCGCCCGCTCAACGAGTACCTGCCAATCAGGGTAAGGATCAGCCTGCCCTGTTATTGATATTTACAGGTATCAATGTAAATGATGCCTGAGTAATTATAAGGGTAGTCCCTTTAAAGTGCAGTATTTTCCACCCATATCTGGGACATAAAACAGTTTGAACATCAGGCATTCAGGTTAAGGATCAAACTGCTCTGTTGATCAGTAACTGTTGTAGATTGCTTCTCATATTCCCCTCATGAAATAATCTTGCTCAGTGTCCAATACCTTGACATGGACAGAAAGGTAACCTGCTCCTGTGTTTCCCCAGGACTGGGGAACCCCCGGGAACCTGTTTGACCTGGGGCTGCGCTGGCACGTGCCCAGTCTGGAGGAGAAGAAGGTCGCCCTCTATCTGCTGGACACGTTCCTGCAGCCGGAACTGGAGAGGCTGAATCAGCACACTGAGGGAAGCATCTCGCTATCCAGGTCAGGACTATGGCTGAAAGAACACAGGGTTACAACATGCAAAATGTCATGCATTACCATTTCGCAGAAATATTCTCCTTCATCATTGTGGAATTCTTCAATAACAGTTTCCTTTGTATGTCCAGTGCTGCATCCGTCAGACTTCCTTGTGTCTTGATCTACAAACAGAATCCTTGATTATAATCAGTTGTAAATGTTATCAATTATAAATGGTGGCATAATTTAGCTATTGCTGCATGGCCAATCTGTTTCCTTGGAGTAAACCAGTCACTACCTGGACTTGTAAACATGACCAAACTGTCCCTCCTCCTGCAGAGACGAGCTGCAGCGTACATTGATGATCGTGCACGACGGACTGATCGGAGCGGGCGCCATCATGCCCATGTGGGAGGAGGACGTCACAGCTGACTTGTAAGGAAGCCTGGGCTCCCAGGTGTATGTCACATGTTCTGTTCTGGACGGGAGGGGGGAGTCTAAGGGCTGTGTCACCCCTGTTAAAAGGCAACGATAATGAGAGAGTATTGTAAGGATTTCAAGTCCAGTTCTTCATGATTGTTACAGTTTTCAGTGCTGCTCAGCACAAAATGGTTGCTTCATCCAAAGCTATAATGTATAAAGACTACAGTATGTACTCTCAGCCTATGTACATGTACTGAGAGGTGACCCTATCATTACCAGTATTGCTTACTATAAAGTTATTGCTTAGCTGTTAGTTTCTGTTTTGCTGTGACTATGACATGACATGAAGTAAAGGTCTCAACATCTGTCCAACAGTGTCAAGAGCGTAACTCCACTAACAGGGTTTTCCAACACCTACAAAGTTAAAGATGAGGGTAAGTCATGTTTTCTTTGTAAAATGATCTATCCTGAAATATATGTCTTATGAAGTGTACTTGGTAATGTCTGCCCTTGATCTGGACTTACTACAAGAGAGATAATCTACCTCACATCTAAGCACAAGGATTTGCAGTACAAAAATATATAGAATTTCATTGTCCATGTAAAGCTATAATTGATATAGCCTATGTAACCCAAGCTCCGGGGGGCTCCTTACATAGTCCGCCACCCAAGCCGGCTGGATGTTGGGCGGCCGGCAAAAGCGATTTAATCAGGCTATAATTGATATATGCTTTTACGACTAGGACTTCTTTGAGACTGTACATGTAAGTCTTTTAAGACTCGTGCCCTTTACTATCTTCATAACACATCTTCAGGTGGAATAACTCTAAATGTAGCAGCTGTGAGCCATTGATAAGCCACGGAAGTACTAAATACAGTTTTATAGCCTATTCCAGTTAATATTCTGACCAGTAGGTAAAAAAAACATAGGTATAGAGAGTGTTACAGCATTTGTAAAACTTCCATTTGTGTCGCCAGAATTTGAAGCACTCCTGAAGCGGAGAGAGAACCTGAGGGCAGTCATCTGTAAGGTCATGCAGAAACTTGTCGGTGAGTTTTCTACACAGACTAGTTTAGAATTTTTAAAAATTTAGAAACAATTTAGGTAACAAGAAATACATGTATTAATTTTATGTTTTTATCATGCAATTTATCAGTCTGTTTATGAGTCTGTTTGTCTTTTTTTTCAGGTCACATTTTGACCAACAGCGAGGATGACACCAAATCATTGTCCTTCATAATCAAGGTAAGGATGGACATATTGTATGTCTCTGACAATGCAATTGTTATGCACTTCTGTACTCTGCCCAAAGTATGTGGTACTTTGGAATCACACAGGAAAGGAACATTGTGGCAATATGATAACCTCTGGTTGTGTTTTCTGTAGATCTACAGTGCAGTCCTGTTTTACTATGGAACTCTGAAGCACGAGTTTGATGGCAGGTGGAAGAGCTTCACTGTAGTGAAGAAGGCCATAGAAGACAAGGTTTGGCATAGATAAATCTTTGTGGCATTGTGTGGCAGTGTGAAGTGTTTGCCCAGAATCCTGCACTTCATTTATACTAGAATAAAGAAAAAAAGTATTGATGGTTTAAAAGATTAGTACTTCGTGTTAGTGTATTAGTACCACATTTTTACCTTGTGTTTCTGCAGCTTCATGGGAAGAAGAGGCACATCAGGGCTCTGCTGGTGGACAGAGTGTCTCTGCAACATGAGGTGAGTCTGTGCACATGTGTCTGTCTGTGTATATGCGTGTGTGTGTGGTGTGTGTGTGTGTGTACAAGTGAGACTTTGACATAGTAGTAATTTGACTGTTACTTCGTCCAGTTTAACCTGCTTTTAACCTATGCCTGTGTTGCTGTGTGTGTGTTACTGGTACTTGACCTGTTGCTTTACTACAGATGCGAGTACTGGACAAGGAACATGCCCCCTACACACCCCTGGTGCAGGAACTCATGCAGGACCTGCTCAAACTCTCCACAAGCCACTATGGAGAGGTCAGCAATCATTACATTTACAATGGATTTGTGTAGGAATGTTTTAGTACCCATATTTAAAAAAAACTCAAAATGTACTATGAAACATCAGTTGACATTACTAATTTCTAATTTTCTAATTTTGAATTTGAGATAAAAAGGGAAACATCTACATGTAATGATTATGCGTTAGCTTGAAAGTTGATTGCAATGGGAACCTAATGATATCAATGTATGTTTATCTCCTCCTCCCCCATTAGGTGCGTGCCAAGGCCCAGCAGGCATTCCTAGGCTGCCTGCAGATGTACCCCTACTCCCACCTGGACCTCCTGCCTTCCATACTCACCTACCTGAAGGCTGACCCCAACATCTCACACGACCAGTTCAAGGTGGGCAGGACACATTTTTAATGCCAATTCTCTACTTCAAGTTTGTTCTGACCCATGACACACCGTTGCATACTTTATACATATTATATTCCTGTTAATAGTTGTTCTTTGAATGTGATTCAAGTCCATAAATGAGAGGAACAACCACTTAGAACAGTACCTGTCAAAGGCTGCTTCAGAACGTCAACAGGCCAAGGTTTGAACTAGGTTTCAAGCTAGAAGCAGGATTGCTAATCACTTACATTATCCAAGAAGATGTCTCCAACTGAAGCATTGGGGTCAGTTAGGGACTTGAAACCAACCGTTTAGATTCTAAGTCCACTCGACGACGTTGCCACCTTGCAGGGTGCCCTGTATGTCCTGCTGGGCACGCGGAGCTGCTGCCTGGCCAGCCTGAGTGAGTACGCCGTGATCCGCCAGCTGTGGCCAACCATCCTGCAGGCCGGACACTCCGAGAAACCCTCCATACAGCAGCTGATCGAGGACGTCACTGACAGAATACACCGCAACTACGAGACTGTCGCAGTCGAATCTGAGGTGAGTCTGAGCATTAGCACTGGTTGCTTACATGTAAACATTTTCAAACTTCTCAGCATTTGCCAAGTTTAAGGTGACCAGTGCTTAATGAATACTGTAATATCATCTTCATCATCACCATAAGAATAATGATAAATGTTATGAAAAGTTTGTAAGGCTTCAGTTGTAGATTTTATAGTGTTGAGTGTAGAAATCTAGCCTGATGGTAACTTCTAACCTTCTCCAGGTCTCAGAAGCTTGTGTAGACCTTGCAAAGGCTGTTCTTGCATCGAAGACGCCCGCTCCCAGCTGCACTCCCACCACAGAGGAGATAGAGGGCGCTGTCAAGGACCTGGAGAGAAGGAACAAGGCAACCCTGGAGTAAGTGTGGTGAAGCTATTCTGGTGTATTCCAGAACTTACCCAAACAATGATTTCAAAACATTTTGTTTTTCAAAATAACTGTTACTTCAACAATTTTTTGTTTTTCAGCATTTACCATGACTTGGTGAACACCTTGCTAGACCTGTTGGAGTCTGGAAATCTGTAAGTCTCCTCAGTTGGTTACTCAGTCTGTTATTTCTCAACATTTATGATAGTTCTGTGGTAACTCAGCAGCTAGAGCTGAGGTAACCTTGAGATAACGACCATATTTCAGGAGGTGGAGATTTGTGCAGATCTCCATCGGGATGCTGACCCTGCAGATCCGGCGGGACACCCCCCTCCCACCCCGCGCCGTCGCCATGTTCACACGGTCACTCGTCGACGAGACCATCACCATCAGGAAGGTCGGTCTTCCATTGCTGTGGGCACAGCATTCCGTTGCCATGTCAAATTATCATATTGCAGAGTGATTTCTGATCAGCATGTCTGATCACATGAAGTCTAATAGTCTTGACAGTTACATTTTCTTTGCCTGTTTTTGCACTGTACTTCTTCCAGCTTAGTTGTCCACTAACTTTTTTCTGCATTGTACGTTGTAGATGGCCATCGGTGCTGTTGTTGCCATCTTGAAGCAGCAGAAGAGGGAACACAAGAAGAAAGAGATAGAGCCTTTCAAAGAAGGTAGGAACACAGTTGTAAATACATTGAACATACAAAACAGATAACCAATCTGTCAAAAGGAGACCAGTTGGTGTGCAATCAATCCTGAAAATATACCTGCACAAGCAATAAAGTAGTGCAAATTTGTAAATATGAAAATGAAGTGGATCCTCCAACTGCAAGTAGTAAAGATCATAGTGAGTGTAGAGATAAGTTCACAGAGACACAGTACTAACTGCAGTTGTACTTGTTACCCTGTCCCTGGTGTCAGGAGGGTGCCAGCCCCCACCCCCGGGCTCCCTGGTGCCCCTAGGGGAGAGGGACGACAACAAGTGGCTTCAGTATGACAGCAGCAGACTGCCCAAGACTCAGGACCAGTGGGAGAACTCCACCTTCGTGGACAAGACCCACTGGGGCTTCTACACGTGGCCCAAGTAAGAGAGAACTCCATTTCTGCATGTTAAACTACTAAATATGCTGACATTATATTCAGAAAACTGCTTTATTTACGTGCAGTATGACAGAAATAATGCCATGATACCGGTGGAAGCATGCTCGTGTGAAACACACAAGTTACTATACACATTTTGACTGGCCAACCCTACAAATGGGGATGGTTGCCGGACTTTGACTTTTCTGTGGGAATGTTTCCAGAGGAGCAAACTGGAGTAGGATGAATACCTGGCTACCATCTGAACAGGTTTTGACTAAGCACATGTTACCCTTCCCCATCCCTACCCAGACCCATGCTGACCTACGCACCTGCAGACCAACAGCCTCCTCTGGGGCGGAAGAGAGAGGACATGTCAGAGGTAACACAGCACAACTTGTCACTTTTCCACCATCAGCCTTGCTGCTTGATGTGTGTGTCGCATACTGGTATTTTGCAGTTTAGAAGTGTTTGGACCCTTTTAAAATAGGGTATATATGGTAGGGCTTTTAGCAAGTAGAGACTGATATTACCTGCACTGTGATAGATAATACTTTCAAATGTTCTCAAATGTTTCTTTTGGTACCTGCAGGGTGAAGGCATTATCTTCGACCACTTCTCCAACAAGGAGTTTGTTGACAAACTGATCGGCTTCCTGTCGCTGGAGGACAGGAAAGGTAGAGACAAATTCAGCAACCGCAGATTCAACATGTTTAAGGTGAGTCCTTTCATTGGTGGCAAGATCATATTTGGATTTGAAGATTTGCAGTTATAAAAAAGACTAGGAGTCCATCTCAGTGTGAGTAGATCAAACCTTAAGTGTGGTTTTTGGAAGCTTGCACCTACTGTTTAAAATTGGCATGTCAAAGGTGGTTTACCACTTATGCAAAACAAACAAACCAGGAGACTGCATGCAGACTATAGTTCTCCTCCCTGTAGTGTTACACAGTATGATGTATTCCTGCAGGGTTTGTTTAGAAACTACGACGACGCCCTGCTGTCCCTGTTCAAACCCCACATGGAGAGGTTAGCGGCCGACACTCAGGAGTTCAGCCAGCGATGTCTGGCAGAGATAGTAGCAGGGCTGATACGGGGGGCCAAACACTGGACCTTCGACAAGGTACATACAAACACCTTACACACAGGTGACATCAGTCTATATTATGTCAATGGTTTTATGGACACTCAGAGAATAGGTCGCTGTAAAAATGCAAAACTGAAACCACCATGATAGTTTTAAGATTTCCACTACTCTATATTCCACAGCAAGAGAAGCTGTACGAGTTCCTGCTGCCACTGCTCAAGACTGTGATGACTAACGCTTCAGTGGAGACCATAGGAGACTGGGCACAGAGCATGTCTTCTGCTGTGGTGAGCTCTCCTCTCACAGTTTCTGTAACACAAAACAATTATTTATCTCTTTTTGTGTTCTTTTACCAGGGTGGCACTCTCATTGTCACGATGTAGATACCAGTAATTGAATGTAAAAGTTTGACAAATAATCCAATGTCAAAGCTAAAGAGGCCTGCATGAATCCCAGTTTCTAAAGCATAAAGCTATTGATAGACGTCTGACATGTTATCCCATTTGTCATGTTGTTGTGTTGTGTCTTCAGGAAAACAGGGACCCCAGGAAGATCCACTGGTTGTTGGAGGCCCTGATGGAGGACTGTGGAAACGAGGCAGGGGGATCCTTCCTGTACTCAAGGTGCTTGTTTACAGCATACTGTCAAACCTAGTGACCATCTTTACATAAGGACCACCTGGCCAATGTGGCTATTTTTGTGGTCCTTTGAAATGATTTTCGAATTGACACAAGCATTAAGAATCCTGTCTATAGTGACCCCCTGTCCACATAGACCAAATTTGATCAATTTCCTGAGTGGTCTTCTTGGGCAGTTTTGACTGCACACATGTACTTGTTTCTTTTATAACACATGTAGTTCATGATGGTGGTCCAACTGACCAGACTGGCTGTGAATAGACTGCCCCTAAAGCTATGGGACTGATAATGATGATGTTGATATGTAGTTGTAGAAACCTTTTGCTATAGAAAAATTGATAGAGATTGTTTGAAGTGAGCATGTCTAATCAACCCCCCCCCCAGCCGGCTGTACGTGCTGCAGAGTGCGCTGAACCAGCAGGAGTGGCGCGTGCCTGAGCTGCTGCACCGCCTGCTGGCCCACCTGGAGCCTCACCTGCCACATGTGTACAAGAACGTCAGGGACAGGTTAGGCAGGTGAGAACTGCTCAATACCTCAGGGAAAATCACACTTGCACGTTTGAAAATTCAAGAATCACTCCAATTCCAAACAATATCTTCATGTACAAGCGACAAATACTGATTATCTGTAAAGCTTAGATAATTCGGACAAAAAATTATCTTGGTCGAGTTTTGAATGAATGTATCAACCCCCTTGATTTGGTTCCAGTGTCCTGACCAACATCTTCATGTACGAGCTGCCGGGTGAGATCGCCATGCCGACCCGCTCCCCCCAGCGCGGGAAGTTCCTGCTGGGCCTGCTGCCCAAACTCGCCATCCTGGAGACGCTCGACCTGGAGAGGAACGGCAACGGTAGCCATGGCAACGGGAAGGGGGAGGAGCCCATGGAGGTCCAGGACCATGCACAGGACGGCGCACTGGGGCAGACGGATGAAAAGAAAGAAGCAATTCAACTCATTAAGACAGGTCAGGGGAAGCACTTAATTTTTGTAGAGGCAACTCTCACCCAGGCTTTTACAGTTAGGTCTGCTGCTTGATTTCTAAGGCCCAGGCCAGGAGACAAGAGGTTATATTGCGATGCCATAACAGTATTGTCACCTTTTGATGACCTAGCCCAACTCATGCTAACCTTTCCCTTCCCTGTGTGTTGTAGTGATGAAGTGGATGATCAGTGGGCTGGCCAGGATGTACCATGGAGTCTTCCCAGAGCTCTATCAACTGCTACCTCTGGTGAGTGTCCCCACTGGTTACTATTCATGGTTACTGTGTCAAAGGGATGCTTTCAGCCCACTACTGACGAAAACGAGCATGTTCTTTAAGCACAATGAATGATCATTTCTTGACAAGAAACTGGAGTTGACTGCTGGACAAGAGAAAATTTGGAAAAGTCCAAAGCTTTCACTTTACACCGCATCTATGGTATTGTAGCTTTTCAGTAAACTCTACCTGGATTGAGACACATTCCCTTTTCTCCCTGTACCAGATCATGCCCCTGGAGAGTACAGAGAAGGATGATGAGCTGCAGAAGGATGCACAGGTGTGTCTGGCCTGTGTGGCACAGGCTTACCTGTCACCTGACATCATCCCCACTGCAATAGAGGCCGTCAAACAGGTACATGTACACACGTGGTGTTTGTTTGTTTCACACAATATTCAACTACGAAGGACTACCAACATAACCAGTAACATATCAGTTTACTGTACTAGTTACCAGAATTCTAGCAAGAGCAATACTCTGTATGTCAATAGCAAAATGAAGGATGAAGATAGAAAAGTGAAAACACACCTGTTTCCTGTGTGCAGGTTGCATTTGGAGGTCTGTGGAGGGCCCGGCTGTCCATCATGACATTCCTGCAGGTGTTGGTGTTCTGTAACCTGTTCCTGGTGCAGGCCAACAAGTCAGTGGTGGCAGATATACGCAAGCTACTGCTGCAACTCCTACAGGACGAGCAGCTAGAGGTAAGTTGAATATGATTGATGTCAAAAAAGCCTGTCAGTTATTTGAAGTCAGAGTTTTGTACAGTTATAGAAAGGCTGATGCAAATTCTGATTTGATCATTGTCAGTATTCACCAATGGAAGCAATTGTTATTGATCAATGGGTGCTCCTGCATTGTTTCCCCAGGTGAGAGAGATGGCAGGCACCACACTGAGTGGCTTCCTACAATGTGGCCTGATCGCCCTGGACAAAGACCTCCAGATGCACTTCAACAAGCTCTGTCACACCAAGTTGCCAAAGAAGAAGAAACTAACAGATGCAGGTGTGCAGGAAGGTGAGAACCATGAAAATTTCCAAATTTGAAATTGCCATGGTCCTAACTGTTTGCAATTGTTCTCATTCCAAGCCCCATGATTACAAACATGTAGTAAAACCTGTACTGTGTTTGTTCCCCTGTGCTCCCTTCCATCCTTCTACGTACACTTGTTTTTCTATCCTGTTGTGTTGCCACTGATGTCTGCCCCTTTCCTCTGCTCTCAGGTCCTACCAGCCAAGGTATGTGCAGCCTTCCATGTGGTCCTTCCGTGTTTGTCGTACCCTAATACTTTTTCAAAACAACTTTCAAAACTCTCATTCCTGGTGATTTTTGCTGCCTTGCTGCCCTATTGTTGATGTACTATTTATTTTCATGTACTGGTATTGTGCAACACTTCCTTGTTTGTGAACTGTATGTTTAAATTTGCCTGTATGATAGGTCATTGGACGATGCTGGTTAAAGATGTAGATTGAAGCTGAAGTAAAGTGTTTTGATTGTGTGTTTGCAGCCCTGATCCAGAGGCATGCGGGGGTGCTGGGTCTGTGTGCCTGTGTCCTGTCCTATCCCTATGACGTGCCTGACTGGATGCCTCAGCTGCTGCTAGAGTTGGGAGATCACCTCAATGATCCACAGCCCATAGCGGTAAGGAGAGTTTGTACTTCTCAACCATCAGGGTAGACTTAAAGACTCCTTGTGGACTACTTGTTAAATCGTTTATTGTTTATCATGTGCTGTTGGAAGCCAGTTTCTATTCTGTATTTACTATACAAGTTTGATCATATACATGTACTGGTGACTATTGACTGGACTAGTCTTAGGAGTTGGAGATTTTGTTAGGAGATGGCAGTGAACATTAGTTTTAAAGTCTTGTGAGTTGTATTCAGGAGGGATTTCAGTTCTTTTTTTCAACCCTACAGGGAACAGTGAAGAAAACGTTGTCAGACTTCCGTCGCACACATCATGACAACTGGCAGGAGCACAAGCAACGCTTCACAGAGGACCAGCTGTGCATGCTGACGGACCTGCTGGTGTCCCCGTCGTACTACGCCTGATAACGTCCTACTATGTCACACGCTGTGATAACAGCAGAGTAATCCTGGGTTAGAACGTCTCAGTAAAAGAAATCAAACAACAGTTTGTCACTGGGACAGAAATTGTCCTGAGTCAGGACCAAATATGGACTCCTGAGATCTTAAATATGCAAATGATGTGCCATGAAGGACAGAATCCTTTTTCAACGGAGGTTGTAGAAACAACCTTTCACCCGGAAGACGTATAATCCGTACCTGACAGCACCAGGGGAAACAGGTGATGTTCCTGTCCTCTGCTGTGCAGGTATGGTTCGTACCAGCCTCACCTTCACAATAATATTAAGGTAAATGTGGACATCACAGCCCTCAAAATACGGGAAACTCAAAGTGTAGACACCCACCATCTAACTGGGATGGTTAAACTGCTGACAGTGCAATAAAGCAAATGATCAGGTCAAAATGTTTCAGTATTAACACTAAGGTAGTGAACACTTTTGTTCTACTAACACCCCAAGTGGCAGGAAGATTGTATGAAGTACATCTTACTTGGGGAAGGAGTTTTGTTCAGTTTTTACTGTTTTATTTCACCAGTTCTCTTGTTTCTTGATGATGTAGTGTGTAGTGTGTACAGGAGTACATGGAATGTATGAAGTAATTTGGATGATCTTTTTACGTGTGGTTTCATGAAGGAAGATGCAGGGCAACAGTCAGTCCACAACCACACGTGAATCTCAGTACTGGGCTAATGTAATATCTTCTACTGTTAGCCATAATGTTACAATTCCACATCCACTTCTTCTAACATCCCTCGTATCTTGTCCATGTTGTTTGTTTTTAAGTTTGTAATCAAACGTTTTCCTGATGAAGTAGTTCGTTTGGGTAAGTTTGAGTACTTTTAGTGTGTTGTTGCCATGGTAACAACAAGTTTTCCTGTTATTTTCATCTGGCCAAGTTGCCAATACAGTGGAATTCTGGATTCTACAGTGGATGATATGAAATTGTAAACATTGTAAGATATTGAAAATAAAGTAACGAAATGGTCTTCATGTGTCAGATTCAAGTCACAAACAAAAATAACTTATTTGACCTTTAATAATATTTAAAAGAACATGGTCATCTACATTTTCCTTCCGTATGACGTCAGGCTTCATAAAAGAAAATACTCAATCACAACATAAAAGCAGTACCTGTGCCCAAGACGAAAATCGCCCCACGCCTTTTCTCATTGATCGGCCACATTTATTATTTCTGACGCATCCAGCTCGTTACTGGGGCCATTGGAACACACTTCCACATCTATTGTCCGGTTCCCGGCAACGTACTATGGTTGTCTAACTTGACGTCTTTTGATAAACCCAAGGAAAATGAGCCTCGAGTTGCATAAGCATAACACATCCTTATCTTGTCGCTTGCTGTTGGTTTTCTATTTGCTGACTCCTTAACAAGATATCGAAGATTTCAAACCTCCGGGAAGTATCCGGGAGTTTTTTGTGAATTTATTGGCACAAACAAAAAAGGTATGACGCACTACAATTAATTGGCCTAGTGCAGAAACGTTCTTCGCAGACATGCTAGAAGTGCAAAAATATAACTTCTTGTGATAATCCCGAAGTACCCACAGTGACTTGCAATGACTCAGTGAATTTGTCAAACTGCGGTTACAAAATCTCACCCTCCCTGCCCGCAACTCTGTATTCACCTACCTTCGGACACAAAAGCAAACACTCCAAAACGATCCCTCCGCACACAGTAGTAATAACTCCGCACACAGTAGTAATAAGTATTCCAGGTGTGAGTTGGTGCAATCCTAGTCGCACGGACGCACCCTTTCTTCATTTTCATCCCACTTCTGAAGTCTGTGCGAAAGTAAATCCCACCGGGAGAAGGAAAACCTACCTTTATTTCCCTAAAGGCTGAGAACCTGAAGGTCTTGCCCGCATGATTGCGGACTATTTTGAGCAGCTTCTCTCTCGGATCGATGTCCTTATGGTCACTGTTGAAGGTCTTACGGTGCAGGTAAGTATCTAACCCGGGAGTGAATCTTTCATAAAGCGGTCTTAATCCTGTTTGCACCGCCTGAGGTGAAGGCACTGAAACGGCAACATCGGGTGATGCGTCGAAATTGAGGTTGGCAGCCGCTTCATGTTGTCCCAAGAAGGAGATTATTAATGCAGTACATGCAGTACGGACAACTACAGGGGCTTATGCAACTGGACAATGTTGTTTCCCCGTCATATTCGCACATTCGTAACCCACATTTACACAACTTCATCCACGGATTGAACCATACATGATCGCAGTTATGTGGGCTGCGAGCAATCCTTGATCAAACCGCCACACATATCCACAGCATATTGCTCAATTCTGACAATGGAAAGATGTCGCTTAGCCACAGCATTATTCCACTCCATAGCCGATGATCTACTTCATATCATGGGGCCCATATTTCTCCAAGTGTAAAAGAAGTGGGCTAGGCTATCTGGAGAATTTGTTTATTCCATTCATGTATATCTACATAGATGGTTCACAAGGCGGGTTGCGTCCGAAGCTGCTGGGATTGCTGTTGGGATTAGCGCTACCGATGCAGTGGCATTAATACCATAAATACGTACATCATACATTATCGAACGGGAAACCATTACTCGGCATTAGGCCTCAAATTACCGCAGTGAACAGAGTGGCAGAAGGAAAGCGTGTGGGCGTGTTTTCCTGCCAACCGGGTCTTTCTCCTGACAACCACGTCATACTAATGAACTCATATGACAGGCTGAATAAAAGTTCTAAACGAGAACTATGCATATGCGGCCCCTTACTGAGGGGTGACTGCGGTGAGATAGCTGATGTTCGCATTCGTTGTAGAACAGCCTGCGAATTTCCAAGCCGGTTATGACAGAGCCAGCAACCGACAAGGATCTAAGGCAGTTGGATTTTGTATGAATATGACATATGCCCGACTATCCCAAGAATGACGTATATGACCAGTCCCAAGCCAGAGGATTAGCCAACTGAATGTATCACATGAAGTCCTATGAAGCAGATGCCGCCAGGCCCCGTGTTAAACGAACGGCGGAATCCTGTCGGCTCGGAACGAGCTATTCCTCGCTGTTTTCCCAGTGCAGATTTAATGACAACGACTGACCTGACCACCGCAGCATCAGGACCAACTGGTGCCTGGTATGGTGTCGGGAAACGATAATTGATTCTTTATGTTGGGACCAACCACGTGTGACGTAATTCATCTGTCCCTGAATCTCACCTGCAGGAGGGAGAGATTGATCCTGCCTTATTCGCTGGATGAAACGTTAACGGTAGTCGTACTTGTGCTCTATGCATGTTTGCAGTGATTGTAAACATGTCACATACAACTAGTTGTACTTAACTCAATTAGATAGAACGGCACATTTAAGGTATTTCATCAATTCGTTGAGTTATGGGAGACACTGAAATGATGATAATATTTTGCGAAGTACAGTGCTTCATACTAATTTGGCATTAACGTTATATCTTCCATGTGATGCCTTTGCTAATAATTTTCTTATGTCTCTGAAAAGGGACGCCGGAACCTTTGCCCTCGTCCAATGTGACATTATGACTCCTTTTAGAGGGAGATTAAGATTATTACCAGGCATCTAAGAAAGGCCACTTACGCTGAAGGTAATGGAGTAACTGCCAACCCCCTTAATGTCCGACGTCTTGCAAAAGGTGTGACGTTATAAATAGAACAACATTAACGTTCGATCGGGTTAGTAAATTCTACCATCCATTCGGCTGTCGGAGGCGGCAGTCAGATCGCAGACCTCATGCATAGTAATGAAGTGCGCGCGGGGAACGCAGGCAAGCGTTAAATTGACTTTCTCCATTCCGCTGATCGCGCCGGATCTTTGCGGAGAAAAACGGCATCATAAGCTCGGCAGCCTATTGCGTAGTAGGACTGACGGATGGCGTAACGCGTGTTCGGGCCTGCGTCCTGCCAGCCGACCCCTCCCCACAGACAGACAGCATCGCCGCCTCCCCTCTATCACATTCCGGGACACACGCCAGGCTGGAGTGACAGCTTCCCACTGTTTTCGGGAAAAAAAGCGAAGGGACGTACTTTTCTGCGTGAAGGTGGTGGAGATTGGTTCAGAGTCAAGGTGAGAGGGCATGATCACGTGACTGAATACGTTAACGTGTGGAGGAAGCAAAGATGGAGCAAGGCGGGAAGATGCAGCGGAGGAAGGGAGGTGCGCCATCCGCCGCCCGGGCCGGCGCGCTGCTGCTGCTGGCTCTGCTCGGTAAGTCTGCCCGGGTCTCGTGTTGGGACCCGCCGGTGATGTTATGTGGGATTGTTGGCCGATAGAAGAAATGTCTTCTGTTCACAATTTTTCCCATAGGGACTGACGTATACAAACCGCAGTCTGTACTCTACATTGTAGCATCTTGCGGTACGGCCACATAAGGATTGGCCTTGTTCTTTCCTGTTCACAGCCACTACATGAGAGTTTCTTTGTTATGTCGGTACTACTGCTAGCTGTGTGTTCCTCATGGGATATTTGTTTTCATTACTTACATGCGACGTGCAGAACGTAGAGGAGTAATAGGCTCGAAAACACGGGCGATAAATCTACCCTAATCACGCACAAAATGGTACTGTGCAGATCAGTCTATGTTAAAACCAAACTGATATCCTCTTCCCGGCAGAAAGAGGCCATTCATCCCACAGGGCGCGTAATGGCCAACTGAAACATGGTGCGGCTTCTACTGAGAGTCCTGTGTGGACGGGGAGCGTGTGCAGCTAATTTCATATGAAGGGGTAACCGTATTAAGGCAGCCGAACATTTGTGGGGGGCCTCAGAGAATGACGGAATTACCCTTTGTGATTCCATTACAATTATTTCCCCATTACCATCATTGGCCTCGGTGTGGGCAGCATTCTAATTACGCGGCCCGGAGGCCGGTCTGGACTGGCGGCCCGCGGCAGATGGGAAGTCAGTTCGGAAAGCTGCAGCGCCGTGCCGAGTTAAAATGAATTCGTTTGAACCAGTCTTGTAAATATAAGTACTTTCCCATAAATCCCATGGCCCTGCTAACGTCCCACCAGAGAAATCCCTGCCTTAGTCTAAGGTAAATAATATCTTAGCTTCGATTGCTCCCGCTGGCGCTATGTTCACCTGAACGTCACCCAACTGGGCCATTATTTACCTTCCCGGCTCCCCTGCACATGTACGTTTCTGGATGTTACTTACAGTTAAGTCGGATCGATACGTATCGGATAAATTAATTGAGGTGCGAGGAGTGAATTCCAGCCGGAGTCTGGCGTCCCCCTGAGGGAGGCACCACACCACCAGATAGCTTACCATGTTTGACGCCGCGGCCGCGCCATAGGGAGCGCGCATTGATTTTTTATCAGCCCCGAGGGGGCCGGAAAACATCATGCAAATTAAATCAGCGATCATGTTTTCGGTGAAGCCGCTCGTACAATATACTGACAAGGTTGCGGAGGACGGTCGCACGGGGACTATCCGAGCAGCGGGCTGCTAAACAGAATCGTGGTTAAAACCTTTCTACGGGAGGCCACGGGAGAGGCGCAAACCTTTCTATCTATCACAGCTGCTCCGTTCAATGTGAAGCATCTCCGTTCAATGTGAAGCATCTCCGTTCAATGTGAAGCATCTCCGTTCAATGTGTAGCATCCCCGTTCAATGTGAAATTAGTCACACAAACCCTCTTGCCTCAAACATATCAGGGCGATTACTGGTGCCTTGTCATCCTGAAACAAACACCCTCAAGATTCCACGTGTGACAAAGCTTAAACTTACATCCCACCGTGAAATTAGGGGATGTCAAGAAACGACGAAGAGACCTTCTCGGTGCTGTCTACCATGTAACCAATGTAAATTTGGTGGAGTAAGGCTACCTTATAGCAGGGAGAAGGTTAACGGAGAGGACTGTCCCTCTAAGTAGGTCAGGGGTTGTTCGCTTAACAGTCTAAAGAGGACTTATTAATTCCCATAGACGCCAGCCTTGGTGCTGAAGTTTATGCTGCTGTTAATCGGTAATGGATGACGATGGATGTTTTCCTCTATCTCCGTGGTTGGCTGGCGGTTTCTTGCTGGACGACTCCTGTGACGTTGTAAAGATAATCCGTGTCTTGCAAATAGCTTAGTTTGCTATTTTCTTCACTAGACTACGTGTTCTAACTCAAAGAAGTGCGTAAGGAACATGAAATCCCATAATTCTGTGCAGTGCATGGACTGCATCTTCTGAATAAAACCAGCCTATAAACGTTTCCAGCAATTGTCATTAAACTCCAGAGGCTTAGCCCTGGGAGAGAAATGAAATCCCCTCACGGCAATGTTGCCCACCTTCACTAGCAGTAACTATAAAGTACCAATAGACCCTTACAACCCGGGACTGACTCCCCGGGCTTATTGCCTGTTCGGTGGCGCGAAGTTCCACAGCATGATGGACATAAAGTGGCGGCCTCCGCCCTCCCGACCTGTGTGGAGGTGTTTCTTATGAAGGTCTGTCACGTACCGGTGAACACGTTTGCGCTATGGTAGAAACACATTCGGTTTGGATACGGCTTCATCTGCAACCGAGATTGTTGGAAGTGAACTCCAGGATTTGTGGCGTCGTGTGACGTAATGGTTAGAGAGGTCGTCCTGGAACCAAGAGGTTTTGGGATAGAACCGATGACATTCTTGGGGAAGCCACTTTTCACGAACTTTCTCGCCTCACTCTGGTGGCAATGAGTACCTAGCTATAGTTTCGGTTAGGGACATCTCTCGGATAGGACGCTAAATGTAGGTCCATTGTTTGAGAAGAGCCATGTCTCGGTCACTTATCTCAGTGAGTCGAGTTTGCCTCGAGCATTGATGTTACTGACTTAGCGAGAAGAGATTCTGGATCCCCACTAAAGCATGAGTCCCACCACCATGTCTGTATCATGTCTCAGGCAACAGGACGGGTTTGACAAATGATTTTGTTAAAGACATCGATCTCCTTTTTTTCTTGTATCACAACGATGCTGGGATACAGGAGAGGCCCTAACATCGATAAAGACTGTCTAATTACTGTGTTTCGTCCTGGCCGATGAAAGCATCTCATTCTCCCAGGACACCCCTGTCTGCCTACTGCATCACGTGTGTGTGTGTGTGGGGGGGGGGTACCTCGCAAATGCATCCTTGAGAGGTTATCATTTGTACTTGTTTTGGGATTCTTGAAATTTGTCTCTTGCAGTTGTGCAATAGTGTAACGTGTCTTTCCTCGTGTGACCATGTTAAAAAAAGCAGCTTCTCCTATACTGTATTTCTCTTGAATACCCTTGCTAGCTGATTTCCTCTACATCGACAGCTGTACTCCAGTTCCAAAGCGCTCTCCGAGCCTCCTCCTCAGGGCTGTACCGGAATACATCACAGAGCTGGTGTTTACCTGCTGTACGACTGGCAGTGATTAAGGGTGAACATTAGTATGCTGTCAACGGGAAAATAACGGAGCTGTTGAGTGTAGATTCTGTATGAAGGATTACCGTTCTTTGTATTCCCTGGGACATAAGTATTACTACATCTTACTGTGACATCCATACAACCTTGCTGTATCCAGACAAGCTTCGGGGGTGTAGAAGGGGTGGGATAAAAACTGTAAAACAGATTCACATAGAAACATCAGCAACCCCATTACAGCCTGCTCTAGTCCATAGGGACTAATTGATAGGCTCTTAATAGCATCCTTAATGAGCATGATTAGTCATCTTTCATTCCCTGCATACTTTATTGAGAGCCGGCAGATGTGGCTCTTCATAAAGAATGAAGAAGACTGATGAGACTGAAGACTTAACTGGCTGGTTTTCCCGGGCTCCATCTTTCACCTGCAGAAAATGCAATGCAGTAAATGATGTGCCGATTTTTCCTACTACCAGTACTTGAATTTTGTCATTTTTCATTCCGAGGCGCGCTTTCCTTCCAACCACCCATATACAGAGAAAAATGGTGGTACTTCAGGGTGTGGATGTTCCATGACCGATGACATATTTCGTGGCACACCATGATCGACTGCCTGCATGACGGGCCGCCCAATACCTCCCCAATATCCATTCCATTCCAGTCAAAGTAAATTCCAATATCTACCTCACAGCGTGGTACATATAGACCGCAGCTTCGGTCACATCATAAAGTCCCGGCTGTGCATTTAGGAAACTTGGCGGCAATTCCTGTGAAGGATTGTTATTGAGCGATGGTCGCTTTGAGGTGAGGTTCAGTGTGCGGCGGCTGACGTCCACGGTCGTGTGTGATGCAGCAGAGGTGTGCCGGAGGACGCCTGATGAAGGCCGGGCCGCGGAGATGGGATCTGTGGGATCCCTGTGTAACGGCAAGGTCAGGGACAGAGGTCAGCTCCGCGTGGTTCAATCATGCTGGAGAGAGATGGCATCTTTGTCTACTGCACGGACAGGCCCCTCGCCTATGTAGCGGGGTTTATCTTTTCCTCAGGCACGGGTATAACATAGGAGATCGGTGCTAGCTTGTTATCAGTCTAATCGTAGCTATCTAGTAACGTAGCAGTATGACCATATTCATTTCCAAGTAATTTACCTGAGCAAAACCCAAGCAAGCCTAGCCTTCATACAGTTTTTCAACAAGATATCTTCAGATTTTTAGGCCTACTCTCTCTGTTCATTTCTCATCTCAAAATCTCAAACTCACCGTGGCGCGATTTAAGTTGTGTTCTTATCTGGGCAGAACAGCCACAGGCGCCGCGAAGACTCTTTCCTCTCCAGAAATTACCGTATCTAAACGAAATGTGCTCCTTTAATAAACCCGTGTATTTGAATCAATATAGATGCCAGCTGCATACAGTTGGAAGATACCAGCACATTATTAAATGAATACAGGTGTGACATTCAGAAGCAACGGAACAGTGAGATGGGCCATATAAATTCATACATACTCTCACACTCCATTCAGTGTGCCATTCAACGTACTAGCAAGGCTTGCCTGTCAGTGAACAAGGGATTCTCAGAATCCATTTTTTGTTATTTTTGTTAGAATTAAAAACACCGACGAGATTTACCTTTTTATTAGTTATAATAGATATTATAATATCATAATATTTCAGCTCTTTTATACTATGCCAATTTTTCATTTACCCTAACCAAAGTGCTGCTCAAATGGTAAATTGTTCGTAACCGGAAACGACGATAAAACTAAAATATTAGAATATGACTATGTTTCCCTCGAAGTGAAATATGATTATCACAATAAAGCTACAGAGATGCACTTCTATCATGCTTGCCAAA